ATCATCCTCACACTTTCATGATGGGGTCTTCTGGCACCCATTTTTTAATGAAGTTAAAGGCAGGCATTGATCACCATTTTCATGCTTTCAACAACCGATGCCTTATTTTAAGAGATGAATTGTCAGCAGTTATGTGGCAAACAGTGCAAAGCCTTTCTTTCCTTTTCGCAGAGTGCTGCTCGTTAATCAACCTCATTAACAAAAAAGTAAATGATTCCCCGTGGATCGAATTTAAAACCGCATGATTCTACTTCCGACGTTGTGCCCACTGAACAACTCTGACCTCAAGGAGGCAGTTGCAGTTTCACGAGAAAAAAATCACCCGTAATAATTTAAAGACGGTTGAGATCGTGGCTGAGATGATCAAGGATGAAAAATTGTACTCTACACAAACAACAACTTTTCTCGTAGGACAAGATTTCTGTTGGCGATTCCAGTCCTCTTTAGCTGTGTGATGAAACTCACCGATGCCTACACTATTATGTGTAGAGTTAGCATGGAGTACTGCATCAGTGGGGAATTCTGGTCAATACTTGACGTTGACCATCTGCCGCCTTGCATTCTTCGTCGTCAACGGGTGCAAATGAAATGGTCTTTCGCTGTTGCTATATTTTTTATGACGTTGCAAGCATTCTACAGCCTACTCAATGTTTCTGAAATTTCTTGCCCAAAGTCCCAATTCATGATATTTTAAGTGGTTGGATCAGAAGAGATTAAAACAAAATTCTTTCGAAGATATTGGTTGCCGCCACAGCGAGTCTTATTTTAGCGAAACCAATAAAATATGCTGCAGTAACATGATATTCGGCCGGTCATTTATAATTAAGAATAAAAAATAAAATAAATTGAAATAAAACAAAAATAAAACTTCAGTCACCTGCACGTTAAAACGCTATCCTATACTTGATTACGAACTTCTTTCTTACCTTGAGATAATGCAATCCTAACTTTGACAGTAAATCTGGATTTTCTGGTGACAGACTACAATACAGACAGCTACGGAATCGCAAGCAATCAACTAACCGAT